TAAAACTTAAATGTTTTTTTTTGTTTTGTTTTTTTTAAATGAGCGATCGTTTCGCTTGATAAGACCCTTATTCATCGTCTGGTGTCGTTTAAAGCCCTTTGAAGCTGCACTAAAACTCTCATTTGGACCTTGAACCGTTTGGTTCCCATTGAAGTCCTTTATATGGAGAAAACCATGGAATGTTTTCATCAAAAACCTTAATTTCTTTTCGACTGAAGAAAGAAAGACATGGACATCTTGGATGACATGGGGGTGAGTAAATTATCCGCAAAAGTTTTTGTTGCGTTTAGCCATTCTGTGCTTGGCCCATTTTTGTGTGTGTTTCTTTCAATTGCGAACTGTTCTATAGATTACATTTATACTGTGCTATACTATATTATAGATTATTCATTACAGCACTGTAAATTAAATATTTTGATGCTGTTTCAACTGCTTTTGTGCTACTCATTTGCATGTTTTAATGCCTTTTTCACTACAATATCTACCTCAATGCTGCATTATTTCATTATATCACGCTTCTGTTCATAATAAGATTTGTTTTGTATTTTGTATTCAGCAAGGATGCATCAAATTGATAAAGTGTCAGTTAAGACCTTTGTAATGTTACAAATGCTGTCCTTCTGAATTTTCTATTCATCAAAGAATGCTTCATTTGTTTTAAAACTATGAGAAGAGTTTAAATATTTAAGCAACAATTAAGCACATTTTCTTAAATGTCATTACAAGAAAGCAACAAACCATTAGTCTTTTATGCTTATTTTGAAGTGTGTATCCCAGGAAGATACTCTTTTTGTGCGTTACAATTAGGGTTGGGTATCGAGAATCGAGTATCGATTGGAACCGGGACTAACTTTTTGTTTTTCCCGGAATCGTTCAAAAGTTAAAATTTCAATTCCTAGTTTCGATATTCACAGTCCGCCGAGTGGAAGAAGAAACCGCTGAACAACACCAACGAAGAAGCGTCTACCGGAAGTGTTGGCATAACCGCGCGAGTCGAACATGAGTAGCTTACGTCGGCGGTCCAAAGTGTGGCTTCACTTTTCTAAAAATTAACGAAATCTCGACAAAATGCAAAATTTGTGACAAGTATTTGTGAAAGAAGTTGTATTTCCTTCAGAAAGACCGTTGGTTAACAAGATTAGCTAAACTTTTTTGACCCTGCCTCTTAAAAGAATCGAAATCGAGAATCGTTAGGAATCGGAATCGAAACAAGGAATCGGAATCAGAATCGTTCAAATTCAAACGATACCCAACCCTAGTTACAATACAGAGAATTCAATGTGAATTCTCACAGTTAATGTGGTGTACAGTAAGAAAAAATGCTAAATTGAGTCTTTTCTCTTCTAATGTTGTCCTTAAAGGCACCATCATTGCGTAATGGCACCGAACGGCCCTTCTTTCTAGTGGAGTACACTGGTGAGGGATATGCTACTGAAGATCCCAGCTGCCCTAAACTCGGCCCGGGACTAGCTGTAAGTGTTCCTATGAAGCATTTTCACATCAACCTATCCTGTTTATTAGAAAACAAACCAAAGATTTCCTCTTTCTTCCAGAATTGTTTCCCAGACTGTGTGTGCGAGGACGCCTTCAACAACACGTACGCCTGCGTCAGAACTCTGAAGGATGGAGACCTGCAGTACTGCGAGTTTGCAGACAATGAGGTGAGCTTTACACTAAGGCCACGTCCACACGAAGCCAGAGCTTTCCCTATCCGATGTTTTTTTTTTTCTCATTCTTAAAAAAAATCCGTAAACACGGCAGTGTCTCGAAAAATGTCTGCATACACACGAAACCACTGAAACCGACTCGAAACGATATAGTAGACATCCCTGACCAGTATGTGGCGCTGTAATTCTGCCATAGAGATACACTAAAAATGCGAGAAGAAGATTTAAAGCATGCACATAAAAACCTTGCGCGCTGTAGGCTATACACAGTAAAATAAATACTAGGCTATGAAATAATATTACGCACAGTTGCTTATTTTCTTTTTGTACCAAGAACTTTATTGAACAACCATAAATAGGGAGTCACGATATTCGATTAGTTAGCAGACTCAGAAGGCTTGCCACAAATTGTTTTGAATTGTTTGTCGATGTTGTTTAAACATAGACATTTCAAGCTTTCTATATATTTCTGAGTTGCGGTTCATTTATGAGACGAGCTCCAGTTCACGAGCAATGCAAGTTATATCGCGTTATTATCTGCTATAGATAGAAATATAAAACTACGAATTAAAAAATGTTGATTATATATATTCTTAGATAAGTGCAAAATATGCATATATTTCAGTATTTTAAGGGCTTAGAGAGATCGACTCTTACATCATTTGCGGTGCTTCATGGGAGTGGGCGGAGCTAACAAGATCTTTTCTGGCGTTTTGCTTGTCTCGACTCACTCATTGGTGTAATTTTCTGTACAGCATTATGGGTAATGTAGTTTTTCCACCATGAATTCTGCTGATAAACAAACATTTTAAAATAACTGAGTTGAGTTGAAATAACGCGGGCTGACGCAAATACCAGCGATTAACAACCTCACAGCTCACAGTAAGGTTATCTTTAATGGTTTATATGTTATCGTTCAAAATCAATTTCCCTATGGAGAACGCTAATGGAGATTTTACTTGCAGAACCTGACTGTTGCACTCTGTTGGGCCCTATTAAATGGGTTTTTTATGCTGTGCTGTATTTGACTTTTTCCGGATTTATGATTCAATACCAAATTATTATCAAAAACAGTGATTATTAAATGAAGACCGAACATTAACAATGAATTTGCACCCAAAAAATGCTGGACAGCAAAGGTTTACCGTTTAAACGGAAGACAAATTGTGAGATTATTAGGGCTGTCAAACGATTAATTGCGATTAATCGCATCCAAAATAAAAGTTTGTGTTTACATAATATATGTGGGTGCACTGTGTATAATTATTTTGTGTATATATATATATATAATAAATTATATATAAATCTACATACAGTATATACATGAAAGTATTTCTCAAATATATACAAGCATGTGTGTGTTTATATATAAATATATATATATATAATATATTTATATTATTAATCATATATATATATAATATTTATATATATATAATATATGTGGGGTAATATATATATATATATATATATTACCCCACATATATTATGTAAACACAAACTTTTATTTTGGATGCGATTAATCGTTGACCGCCCTAGAGATTATTCCTTAGTTTTATTATTGTTGTTTTTACATTCATTGTGGAAATCATAGGCCCTGCAATGGCATTTTAGACCATCCATGGAATGGCAATTGAGTGCAACATGACCTCACAGACCATTTTGACAGGAAAAGGCCATTTTCGAATGCATCTGGATGAATGTAGACGTAGCCTCATTGAATATCCCATGTGTTCTCCTGCAGTCGTTTGTAGAGTTGTACAACCTGACAGCAGATCCCCATCAGCTGGAGAACATTGTGAAGAAGGTCGATCCTTCCCTTCTGCAGATCATGAACCAAAGGCTGATCAAGCTGGAGTCCTGCATAGGAAACGGCTGTCGGATCCTCAAATAAGTCCAGCTCGAGCGGAGAACGCCATGTGAAGATGTGTCTGGTTTTCACTTGCACAAACCTCTCCTGAAATTGTTAAAGGGATAGTTCACCTAACAAATGTGGATTTGCATTTGGTGCAAAAACGAAAGTCAAACAGGTTTGAAACGGGGTAATTAGGGTGAGTAAATATTGACATTTATTTGGAGTGAACTGTCCCTTTATTTCTGATGCGGTGAAGTCACGCACACGCCCCTCCTATAAATGTGAATGTATCTAGAGTGTGATTTTACTTCAAATGCTGAAATACAGCGAAAAGAAAAGCACTTCTAAAGCCTTGAACCAATTTAACTGGAAGTTTACTCGTCCTCAGGCTTTCCTTACTTCCTACTGTCGTCATGCAATGTTTTTGGAGCATTTTTATGGTAAATGAAGTTTGAACTAAATTTTGACGACTAAAATATACTATCATCAAAACATTTACCTGTTGCATTTTATGAGTTTGTACCGTTATCTTTGGTTATGCATGGTTGTTTTGTTTTCTTCATACTGTGAATTGAACCATATATGTATCTATGTGCCTCATGTGCCACAGTGGAAATCCTGCTCTGATATCTTTTTAAAATGAATTTTGCTTCATAAAGGGAAAATCTGATATTTAAGGGAATTTTGCCAACTTCGATTTTAATCCATATGATTGTGCCTTTTTGCACTAAATCAGTGTTTGTGCCTTTGTATGATACAAATGTCTAATTTTGAAAAATCAATAAATTTACATAAAATAAATTAACTTTGCAGTGTCTATTTGATGCTACAGCACATTACTACCACCTGCTGCACTGGAATAACCTGTGACGTGGATGAAGACTCCACCGGGTACCACTCATCTCCACTACAAATAGGAAAAAGAGGCTACAATTCGCAAGAGCTCACCAAAATTGGACCGTTAAAGACTGGAAAAATGTTGCCTGGTCTGATAAGTCTCGATTTCTGTTGAGACATTCAGATGGTAGAGTCAGAATTTGGCGTAAACAGAATGAGAACATGGATCCATCATGCCTTGTTACCACTGTGCAGGCTGGTGGTGGTGGTGTAATGGTGTGGGGATGTTTTCTTGGCACACTTTAGGCCCCTTAGTGCCAATTGGGCATCGTTAAAATGCCACGGCCTACCTGAGCATTGTTTCTGACCATGTCCATCCCTTTATGGCCACCATGTCCCCATCCTCTGATGGCTACTTCCAGCAGGATAATGCACCATGTCACAAAGCTCGAATCATTTCAAATTGGTTTCTTGAACATGACAATGAGTCACCAGGTCTCAACCCAATAGAGCATCTTTGGGATGTGGTGGAATGGGAACAGGAAACTTTATGCATATGTATGAATTGCTCAATTAAAGGCTCAAAGTTGTTTTAATCTCCTTAGGTCCATTTATACAATGCAAAATACATAATTCACTGCTTTTTGTGTGGAAAAACAACCTTTATTGACACAAGCTCAATGTTTGAAGCAACACAGATATAATTTGATCTTTATAAAGGCTATTTTTACATTGCGATGTGAATATTTTGACCAATGATTTAATTAAAATGTAAGGCCTTCCTTTACACTTATTGAACACCTACAAATAGACATTTCACCCCTTCAATAACCAAGCCGCAACATATTGCCTTAAAGATATTTGTAGACTACTTTTTCTTCTACTGTTTGCAACTCGATTTTAACTGGACATTTGTAGAAGTGCGAGAGCAGTTTCTCTGTGTAGCCAATGAGGAAGTAGAATTTACTCGGTAAGAGTTTCTGTATCATCACAGCACAGATGACCAGGATGTTGCCTCTGCGTTTGATCACCACCTCATCCGCTAAACAGTTATGAAACGTGCCGTATATGAAGCGCCTGATGAAGACGTCCTCCACCACGCGCTCCGCCGCTCCAGCTTCACCCTGAAGATTACCTACGTTATGAGGTATAACAAAGATTGTTATTCAGACACTTGTAATGTTTGAGTGGGATGTGTAATGTAAAGATTGTTACTCACTAGTGTGTTGTGAGAGCCAGCCCTTCCTGTGGCCATTGTGATGAGGGTGATGCACCTGCTCATACGTCAACGGCCGGTCTCCTTTACCCACTCGAATACGAGCTGCACGGTTCTGTTAGACAGAAGAAAGATCGTCTGGGTTAAAGACGCTTCTTAAAGGGATAGTTCACCCAAAAATTTAAATTCTGTCAATGTTGTTTTAAACCTGTATGAGTTTCTTTCTTCAGTTAGAACACAAAAGAAGATATTTTGAAGAATGTCTGTACTGACTTCCATAGTGGGGTCCATCAACCATATTCTTCAAAATATCTTCTTTTGTGTTCAGCAGCAGAAGAAATTCATACAAGTTTGGAACAACTTAAGGGTGAGTAAGCTTAAACTACTCATTTACAAACACCTTTTGGACCCTGCCAATACTGCAGTTGGTTAAACCTGTTTCTCTACTTCCTTCAAATAGTATTTGATGTGTTCTAGCTTTTGTTTCAAATGGATATTGTCACCAGACCTGCTATTTTGAAATGGTTGTGTTGATGGACTGATGTGGAATCAATTACCTCATAAATATTTACCACTGGTATTGTTGCCATTGATTTGTTCAAGATACATATCAGTAATGTTTTTTTTTTAAGGCAAGTTTATAAAAGCTACTTAAATACCCTAATTGAACTAAGGTCTAATCCTGACTTAATCTAAACATTGTCTGTGAAACCAGGCTTTAATGTCAGACAAAATTAATCTTAAACTCACCTATACTCACTAATATTGTTATATTTTATACATTTTGTTGTGAGTTGTTGCTTGTTTTTGGTCAGGTTTCTTTCATTTATTTAGTATCACATCCTATCCAACTTTCAAATGTGTTTTCAAAATGTTTTATTAATATTTTCCAATTTAGTATACATATAAATATGGGGCAATATTAGTAGCAACATCTGTTAATAATCGTAAACATGTATTCAAAAAAATTATTAAAACGATTTTTTCTTTTCGTTTTTATCCAAATGTTCTAATGTCTGCATTTGTAAATCTTCAAAACCAACAAAAAATAGAAGATAAATTAGAAGAAATGTTTTTGGATGAGTAAGGATAACACAAAACGCATTATAAATCAGACAAACCCATCTGAAATCACTAGATTTGATGATCACATACCTTTAAACAAGCTGCAGTGCAGTGAATGTTCCTGAAACATGCCGCCGAGTTTAACTGGCTGGTCACCATCTACAAACACATAGATTATTGAATAAATGACATGCATTTATTAATTCTATAATCCCAAAATCAAGCTTCACATTACGTTTAGTGCCATTATCTCTTATTTATATATGTTTATCAGAACGCCTTTCATTTTCTACGTCAGTTACACGGTATGGAAGACTCTCGCCTGTAAATACGGGCCATTAGTTACAAAAGCAAAAAAACATTCAGAATGAAATCTTACCGACAACAATTTTGTCTGTCTGACCAAGGACGTCGCCATGTTTTTGCCCACAAATTGCACAAGTCGTTACGAGCGCATTACTGCCACCTGCCGCACTGGAACAACATTTTATCCTGTGTAATGTATAATATAATTTAAATAAATGTAGTTCAACGTCATTATACATATTAACACACTTTAATATCAATATATTAATATAATATAATATTGAAAACTAATTATAATAATTTTAATTATAATAATATATATTTTGGGGTTCCATTTGTATGGGGTTAAATGTAATATTGTAAATATATATGTAAAGTTTTTTCAAATGTTTTGTTTTGACCTGTGGAGGGCAGTAATACCACGCTCAGCAGCGTCAATGCCAGAAGAGTGTTTTGTTTTTTTTGTTTTTCTTTTACTGTCTATGTTTTTGAACTAACAAACTTTTATTTTGTACTGAGTGAACCGGAAGCGCCTAAGCAGCTGCGTCCTCTCGAAAGATCTGTTGTTGCAGTGCTGTTTCATAAGTTTTCTGCGGGTCTTCTGTTGCTTTACGTTTGTTTTTCATCAACAAGCATCTACATTAAACAGCGTTGAGTCAAAATTAATCCCGCTGAGCTACTCAGCCATGTCTTCTCCGGTGGAAATGACGGAGTTATATGATAACGCGCTGTTAGGGATCCTGCAGCATGTTGGAAACATTCAGAATTTCCTGCAGGTTTATTTTGGGTTCCTGTACAGAAAGACGGACTTCTACCGTCTCCTTAGCGGCCCACAGGACCGCATGGGCTTCCCCCCCGGAGTAGCTGAGAACATGGTGTTCAAGGTACTGAGCGACTTTTGTTTTGATCCATTACCTGACTGGATTCTTTATAAATAAGTATGACAGTACCATGGTACAGCGATGGCACCAGCTGGAAATGCCATGGTAGCGTTATGATGTTTACTAGTGTCCTGGTAGCTACTAGTTCAAAAACCTGGTATGGTCTTGTTTTGCTGGGAATGAATGACAATGACAGCTAGCCTTGGGTCAGTGTTGTAATTTTGTTTTGGCTATGACAGTAAAAAAAAAAAAAAAAAAATCTGAAATATTATTTATTGTAATTAAAACAGTAATTACATTTTTTAATTATTAATTCATTTTAATTAAATTATTTACAATAAAGGTCATTAAAATATTATTTTATGTATATGATGCCACTTTATAATTGCTCTAAGTGTGTTTAAAATTTTTACTTTAAATAAATTAAAAATAAAAACAATTTGATTATTCATATATTTATAGTATGCCACCTTAAATGTCTCTTAAAAAGAATGAAATAATTTGTTAAATTGGCTGTTAGTGTCTTTAAAAAATAATTAAATTAATTTAAATTAATGCATTATTAATTATTTGTATTTATATTATGCCTCTTTATAATCACTGTAACAGTCTACAACAATAATTAAATTAAATAAACAATTTATTAAATTAAAAATAATTTATTTATATTATTTATAATATGCAACTTTATAATTTCTGTAATAAACTGAAGAGTCAAGTGTATTTACTGTCATTCTTCCACCAGACGTTTAAGTTATATGAGAAGCTTGCCGAGCAGGACAGAGAGAGAGCAATGAAGCAGGCCGAGGAGCCGAAAGCTGCTCCTCCTGCGATACAGGAGCTGGAGGTTCAGTCCGAGCAAGAGGCCGAAGCTCCTGTGGAGGAGAAGAGAAGCACAGAGGAGTCCACACCTGTCACAGCGCCATCAGCGCCGAGCGAAGAGACGCCAGCAGGAGCCACAGCGGCATCACACGCCGATTCTGACACCACTAAAGTGTACGTTTGACTTTACATTTGTTTAAAAAATACTAATACTGTCTGATACACGCTACCGTTCAAAAGTTTAGGGTCAGTGAGAATGAATACTTTCATTTATCATGGATGCATTCAATTGATCAAAAAGACACAGTAAAGCCGTTTATATAGCGGCTTTTTAAACACACTCGGCCACATGAGCGTTTACACTATGAAAGCAATTCGGGTCTAATGTGTTTTCACTATCTCTGGAAGTGGCAGAAGGTGGACAAGCTTAAAGCGTTTTAGTCCCCATTTACACCTGTGTTTAGAGTCGTCCACTTGTGGACCAATACAAAACATCTTAATACCAGCTGTGAACAAGGCCTGAAGGGATAGTTCACTTTGAAATTAATTGTTGGTATGTTTTAGCTTACCTCAAGGGCTTTTGATATTTTTAGGTCAAACCGTTCATTCGTGTCTATCAGTCATATAATGGAGGTCTATGGTCACCACCTCAAAGAGCATGCACAGAGAAGTTCAAATTAAACATGATTTAATGAATTGTAAATGTAAGTACACATTGATGGCCTAAGACACAATAAGAGCGGTTTGTGTGAGAAAACGAACAGTATTTATATCGTTTTTACCTCGTGTAACCACAGCCACAAAGGACCCGCGCAGATCACTTGGACGTGGCTGTGGTTACAAGAGGTAAAAACAATATAAATACTGTTCGTTTTCTCACACAAACCGCTCTTATCGTGTCTTAGGCCATCAATGTGTACTTACATTTATGAGTCATTAAATCATGTTTAATTTGGACTTCTCTGTGCATGCTCTTTGAGGTGGTGACCATAGACCTCCATTATATGACTGACAGACAAGAACGGTTTAACCTAAAAATATCAAAATTGAAACTACTTTGGAAACAAAGACACCTACGTCTTGGATGCCCTTGAGGTAAGCTAAACATACCAAAAATGTATCCCTCTAAGAGACGTCTTTTAAAAAAATCTTACCTATTTGTGTTCTGCATTTCCAGTGGACAGGAAAGCTATCAGTCCAATGCAGACAGTTACAACGGTGCTGTCAGAGACAATTACACCTGGTCGCAGGATTACACGGATGTGGAAATCCGAGTGCACGTGCCGCCTACCGTCGTTAAAGGCCGACAGGTGTGTGTAACCTTCTGCCATCTGATTTTATCACGCTTACTGCCTTACAGATTGGCACCATCCCCATTCAGATTGACGTTTATCTTGCTGTCTAGTATTACGACAAACTAAATTCGTTAACAGTCTGCTTTCCATTCCGTCTTTCCGTGCAGGTGTCAGTGGACCTGCAGTCGGGACGGGTACGTGTGGCCGTGAACGAGGGAGCATCTCAGAGAGTCCTGATAGAGGGAGAATTCACACATAAAATTAACACGGAGAATTCCCTGTGGAGCCTGGAGCCCGGCCGCTGCGTTCTGGTACACATTATTTTTGGACGGTGTATTTAAAAGTTCGATAGACTGATGTATCAGCCAATCATTAGCCATTTTGAGACGGGCTCCGCTTTTCTGAGGCTTTATCCTCACCATTGTAAGGTCTAAAATTTACTGACAGTCTTGTGGCTTGTCAGTGGAAAATAAATACTTGTTTTTTGTTTAGTTAGATCAAATAGTGCAATTTCGTGCACATTTGCAGGCAAAATGGTTAAATCGGTTGTACTTAAAGAATGCTTTGGATATATAGACGTAAGTTTGGTCTCGTTTTTAAAGAAAACAATCAGCAGATTATTACTGAAGTGAAAGCACTTCAAAAAATTAAGGTATGAAAAAGTTATGGAAGTTATAATTTACAGTAAATAAAATATACTTTATTAATATTTTTTTAATATAAAATAAATATTTTACAAAATATTTTTTACCATAAAATTAAAGCTATATATCTAACCAAGTTGTGTTCACAAAAATTGAAGTTCCCATGAGATTTTGTTTAGGCGTTATCCCAAAAATAGGCACCGGCCACCGGGTGCCATTGAATTCCATTGAATTTAATTGTATGCATTCTGCCATAACAAATTAATAAATTTCTATCCAAATATTACTTAATATTACTTCTGTCACTAAATATGGAACCTTGAGACTCAGACCTTTCTGATAATATATGTTTTGTCAAGATTAGAAAAGGTTTTGATAATAAATTATGAAAGATGATGCCCAAAAGGGGCGGGGCCTAATTAATAAATACCGTTTCTATGGTAACACAGTGTCCAATTTCAAAACGGTTTTCACAGAATGAATTCTGATTTCATAAGCTTTCAAATGATACCTAATTTAACTACTAAAATATGTGATATAAAAAAAAATATATATATGATATAATAATATATATATATATATATATATATATATATAATATCTTATACTTTTACCTTACTTTTTAAAAATATAATTTTATCTTTTTTATTGACAGATACTAGATTATGTTTTATTTTGAACTTTTAGTCCTAAAAACCAAAGTTTCTTAAAAGTGTGAGTGAAAAAAAACAGCGCTAAAATATCTATTTGGAGTCTTAAACCTTTCCAACGACATATAGTTTGTCATGACTAGATTAGGATTTAATAGTAATATAGTTAAATAAATTTAGATTTTAGTCCCGTATACGGACAAGTGACAGGGGTTAAAAGACGTCTCTTAGGTTCACCAAGGCTTCTACTAGTTTCAACATCAATAATGATCAGAAATGTTTCTTGAGAAGCAAATCAGCATGTTAGAATGATTTCTGAACGATCATGTGACTCTGAAGACTGGAGTAATGAGTAGCTTTGCACAACAGGAATAAATTGCATTTAAAAATATATTCACATTTTTGTATTGTAATAGTAATTCACAATTTTACTGTTTTTGCTGTATTTGTAATCAAATAAATGCAGCCTTGGTGAACATAAAATACTTCAAAAGCAGTTATTTACATAGAATTATATCTCTAGATATTGTATGGAATTATGTGAATTTTTGTGTCAATGTGAAACGGAAACAGATCTGATGTATTTTGTTAGTCGTTGTAGACAGTCGTGATGATTATTTGGACTTTTCCTCCAGCTGTCCCTCAGTAAAACCGGGGAAGTTTGGTGGAGCGCCGTGTTGAAGGGCGAGACTGAGATCGATGTGAACCAGATCAACCGGGAACGCACCATGGCAACCGTAGATGAAGAGGAGCATGCCGTACTGGACCGCCTCACGTTTGATTACCACCAAAAGCTCCAGGGGAAGCCACAGAGCCACGAGATGGTGAGCACTAGAGCTGCATGATTCTGGTTACTATCAATTTGTTGTTTAAAATGGAGATCACAGTTCT